CCCTACCATTGAATTGAGACTGACATTGGAGTGTTGGTTGAAATAAATAATGTATTACAGAGCAAAGGCAGTTAGAGAATTCACAATGGATGTTTGACTTTAAAGATTTGGTCTCTTTTGTCAGAAGCACTAGCTGTACAGTGCCAACCATTATCTATTTTAAAGATTAATAGAATGTATAAGAGATACTGTAAAACGACATTAAATACATCTGCCCTGTAGAATTCAGCATATTTTCTCAGAAAAGCCTTTGAATGGACACAAAGGTCAACAGTGTTAGGTCTGCAATCCTAGCTTAAGGTCATTATTGTTGTTTCATTCATTATTAAAAGTACAGGTTTTATGGGTGGACTGTGTATTTATGCAGAGCATAAATAAGTCATGACCACTTTGTTCAGCATTCAGAACATATGCCACTTGATGTTTGATTTTCAGTATTTCCCTATCCAAACATGTTATCTATATTCTGATGTGACGAGACTCTGGATAACACCGTTTGTCTGACTAATGTCAGGGAATAATTGAATACAGACAGTGTTTTCTCACTGAAGTGTGAAATGAAGGGAAAGCCACTGAGTGCTGTGGGTGTTTCAGCTGTAAAACCACGTATTTTTGTTGTATGTCACTATGCAAAAGTCTTGAACCACCCTCTCGTTTCTTTATATTTTCCTTCCAAGGAGCCAGACTTTCAGGATTTTTGTAAAAGTGATCTTGAACAATAGTTCTCTGGGTTTTCTGAAGGTGTTTCTGAAGGTCTGAAGTTTTTCTTGGACATTGCCTATTTTTTAATCCAGTCCTTGAACCCGGTCATTTTCCTGGGTTAGTTTTTTAAGGGTTTTCCTTTTTTTTCTCCAAGTGAAGTAAAACAAAGGAAATAGTAGGTCAAAAAAAAACACCTACAGCAGATGACCAGTATCCAAAAGTAATGTCCTCAAGAAATGGGGAGGAAAAAAACTAGCAAAGATCTGACAGGACCTGAGAGAAGCATCGGGCCCTTCAGTTGATCTGTCCACTCTTCACCAAAACCTCATCAAAAATTGTGTTAGTGTAAGGGCAGCTGTCATTTCTAAGGAAAGGAAACAGGGGGAAGAGGCTGATGTATGCCAAATTACAAAGAGCTGGACTGAAAACCAGTGGCAACAGGTCTAAAGGAGTGTTTTTTATGTATGTCGGTATTTCCGGTGGAGTGGGGTACAACAGTGAGTATCTACAGACATCTGTAAACACTCTGTCATGTTTTGGAGGTTAATTTCAGCGAGTGGTGTAGAGGATCTTACCGGTATTGATTAAATTATGAATGCAGAAAAGTGCCATCAGATTTTGATCCACCATGCAGTGCCACCTGGAAAGCATCTGATTAGCAGCACCTTCATTTTTCAGCATGGCAATGATTCCAAACACACTGCCAGTGCAGCACAAGTATACGTGTGGAAAACTATCAGTCATGGACTGGCCTCCCCAGAGCCCGGACCTCAACGTTACTGAAGCAGTGTGGGATCATCTCGGCAGAGAATGGAACAAAAGGCAGAAACATCCAAAGTAGAGCTTTGGGATGTCCTTCAAAAAGCCCGGAGAAATATTTCTGAAGACTACTTGAAGGAATTACGAGAGCTACCTGTGAGAGTTCAGTAGACGAACGAAGACGTCAAAGCAAATATTGACCTTCAAGTTCATTAATTAAACAAACATAATTGTTTGTTTGCAGTGGTCATGTTTCAGTCACTACAAAAACAAAACCTAAAGACTTTTCTGTGAATTTTTATCCTCCCATAAATACTCTACCTTATATGATAAGTGCTGTATATTTGATGTGAATATGCTTCAGGGGGGTTGATACATTTTTATATTTTAAATTCCTTCCTCTTCATCATATCCCTTTTAACCAAAGTTGGAAGAAACCCAATTTGCATACCAGTTAATGAGATGGAAACATATTTTCATCGAGCAGCTGCGACTGGCAACTGTTTTGACAGTTTCTCTGTTCTCGTCTGTTGTCTTGCACTTTCCTTTTTCTCTCTCTCTTATCTATATATTTTCCTCTTACCCTCCCCTCATGCTGTTTCCTTTCCTTTCTGTCTTCCTTCCCTCACTGTATCCCTCCAATTAGAGCCAAGACCATTAGGAATACTGTATCAGTGAACCTGGAGCTCACAGCAGAGCAGTGGAAGAAGAAGTATGAAAAGGAGAAGGAAAAGAACAGGTCAATGAAGGAAACTATTCAAAGACTCGAGGCAGAGCTGAACTGCTGGAGGAACGGTAATACTTGCACTGATATAAAAAAACGCTTAACATCATCTTCCCCCAAGAGACGGTAAAAATAGTTGCCTGTGCATTTTGAGTTTATCAGTGAGAACCATGAAATGCATATATTTTCAACTGCGCTAATGCCAGAGACTGTGTGGGGATGTTTGCTGGCCTCTTTGTTCGAGACTAGTGAACGGATTGCACTGAACATGTTCATGGTCTCAAGAGAATTAATTACTTTCCCACTAATATCAGTTGCAGTTTGTGTTTAGTTCTAATTAGCAAATGTTAGTATTATAAAAGGTGAAAATAGGATGGTAGAAATGTAATAAAACATGCAAAGCGCCAGCATTTAGCTCAGAGCATCACAGAACTGCAAGTGTGGCTGCAGACGTCTTAAATTACTCCTATAAAAGAAACAAAAAGAGTGAAAATTGAGTGCTGGTTTAAGCAAATGATTGTAGATCTTGATCTTTAATCCTTTTTTTAAAAGATTAACTGCCTGCCATACGGTAAAAAGAACGATGGTGTTAAAAGATGAAAAGCTTGTGCTCGAGAGAGACGATACTCCGGCCCAGAAAACACTACTTTTCTGAAAAGAAGAGCCACTGCAGTGCATGTCCTTATCCCAGTCCCTTTTCATGCATGGAGGAGTATTCACTGACAGGAATGAAAATTTCACCAGCCCGCAGGCTTTATTTTGCAGTCTACGTAAGTGCAGATTTAACCTCATTTGATATCATCTGAATACCTGCCTGGGCAGATATGGGACAAGGGGAGCCAAACAGACTTGCTGGACTTGTGCCCGAAACGCTTAAAAATGCCTTCTTCGTTATTTTTATTCCATATTATTCAGAATTTTACACTTTGCATAATTGGATTCCCCCTGCACTGTATCGAAGGCAAGACATGATTCAGGCCTTATGATTTATGAAACCTTATGCATTAGTAATCTTCACAGAAGCTAGAGCTAATCACATCTACAGAAAAGTCATAACTTACACCGGTCTTCTCACATGTCACGCACTCACTCATAACTGTTTCAGTTTGCACACTAAAAAACACAAGTATACGAAGCATCGTAGGCACACGCGTTCCCGTTAATTACACTTGCACATGCGTCTCTTTTGTTAGACGAGGTCTTTTCGAATGTCAGCGCTCTCAGTTCTAGCGATTGGTTGACATTCAACTTTTTTAATGAATCTTTTCCGATGTTTTTCTCCTAAAGATCATTCCCTCGGAGCATGACCTGAATTTTAAAAATGTTGCAACAACGATTTATCGATCACCTCTTAGTGAAAATAATTTCTTTCATTCCTTCACCCCATTCTCCTTCACACACATAATCTTTTCCTCGATTGTCTTCCAGTCTCCCACGCAATTCAGTGCTTTTAATTTCCTAATTAATCATTTTGACAACATCGTCGCACTCACTTCCCCCCTCACTGCCCCCCGTGTTGTTACCCACCTCAGGGCATTAGCTCCTTGAGAAAGATGCTATTGACCTCCATCTTGTGCCGCATGCCCACAGACAGGAACGCTTGTCTCACACAATAAATTTCATTCAATTGCAGAGCAGGAACTCCTGTGGTGTGCAGTAGAGAGACACACACATGCAGGTCTTTGTCACAGTTAATTTTGTGGCTACTTTTATTGATTAGTACACCGTCAAGTCAACAGGTGGAGCTCAAAGTGTCAGCTGGGTACGTTGTGAGATTACTTTGAGCATATTAGCGTTAGAATCACTCCAGTTCTTCGTGTAATCACTCCTCTACTTTAGAGCTACCTATCGTGCTTTTAATTAGTCAGATGAGTGCTGTAGTGAAGCCTTGCAGAGGCAGACGTAGTCAGCTTCTGAAATAAGTCAGCAGTAACACAGAAAGTCTCTTCTTTCAACTGCATCAAGATGTTTACACATACATGTTGGAGAAAAGTGGTCACTGCAGCACAGAATCTGCAATCCAGTTCAAAAAGAACTCATTCTTTCTCAATTTATGTCTGTGTTTTAACCCTAAAAAATACAAGCACTGGACACTTTACTAGTTACACCCCTCCCCTTTTGCCTTGAGATGACTTAATTATTCATTGCATAGATTCTACAAGTTGCTCGAATCATTCATCAGAGATTTTGGTCCATATTGACATGATGCCGTCACACACTTGGTGCAGGTTTGGCAGCTGCACATACATGATGTGAATCTTTGTTCCGCTACCTCTTAAAGGTGCTCTGTCGGATCGAGATCTGGCAAATGTGGAGTTTAATTGAGCATAGTGAACTAGTGATGTCCAAGAAGTCATTTTGAGATGATGCTTTGTGACACGGTGCATTATTCTGCTGGAAGCAGCCATCAGATGATCGATGCACCGTGGTCATAAAGGGTCAGCAACAATACTCAGGTAGGCTCTGAATGATGCTCAATTTGTAGTAGGCGGAAAACATCCGACCACATCACCACGACCAGCCTGAACTGTTGATACAAGACAGGATGGATTGATGCCTTCATGTTGTTTCCACCAATTCTGACCCTACCATCTATCACGCTCGTCGGACTGCCAATGTTTTTCCAGTCTTCTACTTAAGCTTGTGTAAACTGTAACCTCGGTTTCCTGCAGTGGTGTGGTCTTCTGCTGCTGTAGCTCATCTGCTTCAAGGTTCAAATGCTCTTCTGCATAGTCTGGGATGCATGGGTGCATTTCCACATAGAGAGCCTCTGCTTTCTTATTTTTCAGACCATCCAATGTGGGATGGAAAAATGCTCTCTGAAAACACTCAGATCACTGGCACCGACAACTCTACGTTGAGATGCTGCTGTGTGATTGGCTGACTGAAAAACTGTGACAAAAAGCAGTTAAACAGGTGTACCTAACAAAGTGGACAGTGACTGTAATCACTGGACATACTTTACAGCTTCTCTCTTTCCATATAAAGTAAACTGTGTTCAGTAATTCATTATGT